TTTTTAGTAAGATATTCTGAGTATTTTTCACAACTTTTTATATGTTTTCTTACATACCAGTTCAAATATGATTGTCCGAGGTCCTCCTCAAGTCAAAACATTTTGACTTTGGGGTTCTAATTTCGACTTCATGTATACACTCTGCCATGTCGCCACTTGGTGTCATGTAAGAATTGTGTTGATAAGGTCGAGGATTGTGTTTTATGCTGTACAAAAATTACATCCTCCATTAGAATTTATTTTTAATTTACATAGCTGGTATTTATTTTTTTTCATTGATCTCTCAAGTGGTAGATTAAATGGATTTAATGTTTTTAAAGTTAACATTGTTAGGTTCAGGTGCATCTTAATATTTGCCAAAAAAAAAATTTTATTATTATTATATAAACTTATGGTGCAAGACATGCAAGTTACTGCACTTCGGTGACAGTTTTTGTACTATAATTGTTATAAAAACAAACAAAATTTATATTCATCACATACAGTACAGAAAACGAGCTAAATTGGCTGTATTATAACACCACCTTAATTAAATCATGGTCATCATGATGCAGGAGACAAACCCATTATTTGCTCAACAGGAGAAATTGTATCTATAATCACATTACAAATGACTAAATTTTGATCCCTGAAATTCTTAGTAATACCAATGTTCACTTTGTCTGGTTTTGTTGCAGCATGTCTCATGTGATCTAAAATTAAAACATAAAATAATGATGGTAATATTAATAAATAATATAATTTTAAATATAATTATAGTTGAAAGAGGATGAGTTTGATCATGCATAAGTTGCATATCAATTAAAAGTGTTTAAAAGCAATACTATTATGAACTTTGGTCCATGTCAAGAAAAAAGTGTTATAATTTCAGGAACTCCAAAAGATATTGATTGGAAAATTATTTCGATTTTTTTATCAGATTTTCCTTCACTTAAGAATAAAAAATATATTGTTCATTTACCACAGTAGGTTTGTTTTTATTTTTTAATAAATATTTATTTGAATTAGAGGCTAACAATTTTTTTTTTTTTCATGGCAAACCATTATTAATTCAAATTACTTCAAAATTTCTTGTCAAAATGCATAATACAAGTGATGCATATTGTATTGCAAGACTGTTTAACAATACATATTTTTTCCCAAATCATTTTGGAAAAAGATATAAAATAAAGGAAGTATATTCTGCTTTTAATTTCTCAAGAATATTGTTAGTCATAATAATTTGGTTGTAATGTTTTTCACAAACAGAGTACTCATTTAAAGAATTAATTAATAAAGATAAATCAGTAATATATTTAGCAAATATATTTACACACCCAACTACTTTGCTTCCTGAGGCTCACCTCCAAGTTTGATCACTTTTAGTTTCACATGGGCTCAACTTGTATTCTTGAATAAACATAGCAAATAGGCAAAGTAAAGTGTTAACAGGCAGTATTGGTGTTTTGTTCACTAAAGATTAGAAAAGAATTTTTTTTTTAAAAAAACCCTCTTCTGATGTATAAATTTCCTTGATTTTTAGTAAAAACATACTTTGAACAGCTTAACAGATTATAACAGATTATTAACAGATTATGAAAGAGAAAGTTGAATAGTATATATTTCGATTATTATTATTAATAGGGGGTTTTTAATAAATTTTTTTTATCAATATGCAGTGGAAGTATCACATTAATTCGTTTGCTACATATATGAATTGATCAATGAATGAGGCTGAAATTGATTTCCAAATTTGGTAAAATCCCTGACTGTATTATTTTCAACACATAGCCCCATAAATGTCATATGACATACTGATTATCTAGCAATTTGTGCGACATCCTGATAAACCATTCTTTACTCTGAAACTAACTATTATGACAACTCTTTGGGATGAAGAATTTAAGTGAAGAGTTGGTGGTAAGTTTATAGTATTTAATCGGCAGACCACAGATGGCACAAAAAACTGGTTTAACATTCTTATAGTAGTGAAAATGGAAAAAAAGACAGAGTGTGATAGTGAATCCAGCTCACACTCAACTTCAAAAAGTCAGTATGTTTTCTTATTTCACTTATTTCACCTCAAAAACTCAGTAATGGTATCTTGATACCTTATTTTCTTATTACTATAAACAGCAAGTTCTGTTATGAGTGATACCTCAAGGTGAATAATATATACAAGTCTATAATTTTCTTTTCCTATTTTTTTCTAACAAGTTATTCTTAACTATTATTGTGGTGATGTTACTGTCAAATTTCCCAAAAATTCTGAAAGTGTAAGGTAACTGTCTGAAAGTGTTAAACAAAGGTGCTTGATAATCTTTGTAGTGCTTGTTTTTTAACAAGCTGTTTTTATTATGTTCATAAGTATGGACAAGTTAGAAAAGTACCGTGTCCAATGGTGGAATCAAGGTAACCTTCACCCCATGGCAGAATGGGATGAAATAAAGTAAGTGATACATATCTTTTATCTACTGAAGATAAATAAGCTAACCTTTCACTAATTATATCAAGGCTCCCATATATTCTTGTGAAAGATGTGACTATTGATAAATATGAAGAATGTGCAGACCAATTTAATGTCCATGGGTGTTAGGAGTGGGGTGCAAAGCTTGAAAAAAATGGAATTGTTTTAGGTGATGTGACAATTTATGAATTACCATCACAAGCACATGAAGTTTGCATTGGTGCAATTGTTAAACTAATGATGAAACAGTGTAGTCCTGCTGATGAGACAGATGCTGAGATTTATAGCTTTGGGGCAACTAGTAGGCATCAATTCATTAACTTTCTCATTCTATGCCCACATTTTTCAAACTAATCTTGATTACTTAAAGGAACCCGTGCCAGTGGTTTTAGTAAAGAATCTAATCAATCATTTCGCCCAATGAAACCTACAGTAATCTCACCATATGGGAGCAATGGAAAGGTACCTTTTTATTTTTTGTTGCTTTTGAATTCTTCAAAGTTGATTTCATATTATATCTTTAATTTGTAGAATAAACCATGGCCAAACCTTGTTGTAGAAGTAGCATTTTCAGAGTCTGTTGGTCATGTCAAGGAAAAGGCATGGAATTACTGGTTACATAACAATCATGTCCATGATGTAATTGTTGTTAAGATTGATTATGTCCCCAAAGATCAAATTCCTCAGCATATGAAAGTAAGTATATTTTCAGTGTATGTGTCACTTTTTTTTGTTGTGTATCATTCTAAAGTCTTGATCCTCAACAGGTATGGCATTATTGTGTATCAGGTACATATGTGCAACAAAAGCTTAAACCTATAAACAAGGTATGTTGCATCAGCAAACCTTGTTCTCCATTGATTTATAAAATTTATAATATATATTGGTTAATTATTAGTTTGAATTTGGTACACATGATGAAAATGGGAATTCATTAAATTACCTACAAGGCACACATGTGATTAGAATTCCATTAGATTGTTTATATTACAATGTAGAACCCTCTATTCAAATTCCTAAAAGTATTTTACCAGATCCTATTTTACTTGATTTCTTTTCTGTTAGGCAAGCAATCCTCAGAACATTTGGTAAAGTGTCTTGAGATAATTTGCAGTGCTTATTTTATAGTTTATCAATGATTGAAATGAATGTCTTTGAATATTATTGCTTTATATAAAAAATTTATTAATAAAAAAATCATGCCTAATATTTTTTTCATGTGATCAAACCTTATAAGTATGAGAGGGATATCTTGATTATGTTTGACTTTGGCCACAAAGGCAATTTATTTGATCTTATACAAAATAAATCATGTTGGTATCAATGCTTAATTACTTCTGACAGGCCTCATAAGAGCCTTATATTCACTCAATCACATAATTGTTAAATATCTCTATAGATAATGTTTCATGAGGAAAAGATTAATTGTCAGGTCAAGAAGGGGCTCAATATTTTTCATCAGCAATTGCTTAAATATTAATATAATAATAATATAGATACAAGATGTCACCTGTTATAAAACACTATGAAACATATGGATTTCAAATAATAAATCATGTGTACAAAAGGGTACAGAATTTGTATGGAATTGGACACTTTTCCATACTTTAAAGTATGGAATTGGTACTGAATTGGTGCTGAATTGGTGCTGAATTGGTGCTGAATGGTACAGAACCAATATGAAAATTATTAATTAAATCTATTACTTTATTAATATAATGTATTTTAGTTACTGAATCCATACTAAATTACATATTTAAACATATTTTAATCACTGGAAAGGTACTGAATCCATACTAAAAATTACATATCCAAGACATATTTTAAATATGGAATGCATACTGAAATAAATATTTACATACAGGAATAGTACTAGCACTACTAATATTAATGTGGAAATAGCATTGAAACTATATTGTTTTATTATTATGGTAATAGATAGTAATGTTATCATAAATATTAAATATTTTATTAATTATTTACATTTGGGTTATAATGAATTAAATAATAATAAAAACTATCATTTGCAATTATAAATGTAATCTTCATAATGATTAGATGCAGTATTGGTAGACACAAAGTTAATTAGTATATTAATAAATTATTAGCATTCCAATCATTGTCATCAGTATTTACTTCAGAGTACTAGATAATGAAAAATTATCACCAAAAGCAAGTTAATAATAAATAGTAAACTCCAGTATTAATAAATTGTTAAATTCCAATCATTGTCACCAGTACTTACTTCAAGTACTAGATGAAAAAAGTTACTGTCACATGATCCTGAAAGCAAGTTAATAATTAATAAATTGTTTAAATCCCTTTACTATCCAATCATAGCCATCGGTATTCACTTCAGAGTACTTTGATGAACTAGATGATAAAAAAATTATTGTCACACAATCCTGAAAGCAAGTTAATAGTTTAAATACCTTTACCCATTATTTACTTCAGAGTACCTTGATGAACTAGATGATAAAAAAGTTGCTATCACATGATCCCGAAAGTAATAATAATAACAATAAAATTGTTGAATTCCCTTTACCATCCATCATTGTCACCATATTTGCTTCAGAGTACTTTGATGAACTAGATGATAAAAAAGTTACCATCACATGATCCCAAAAGTTGCACGGCAAATTTTCAACAATGATGACACCTTTTATAGTAATAATATCGTTCATTTCTTTTTCATTATATATAAAAAGTAATGTTATCATATTCCGAACAAAAACAAAATCTAATTAAATTATATAAAAAAGCAACAGAAGCTTTTCTTTTAAGAGATTATGACATTGCATATTCTTTATCCACAGAGGCGATTGTTTCCCTTAACAAACTTTTAACTTTTACTTCTACCAACACAAACAACGACTCTACTATTACTATTGCTACTGCTGCCAACAATAATCAGGGCAATAATGCTTTAAAAAAGAGGATTTGGTGTCTTTATGTTAATCTTATTGCTTCTTTACTCTCAGAAAAATCGCCCGTAAATACAAACGATCTTTATTTAATAAGATTTTTAAAATTACCATCTGAAATTGTAGCAGAAGAAATTTGGAATAAAGTTATTGTTGAAGGATTTGATAATGAAGAAGGTCAAGTTCCTGGTGAAATCGTCATTTCCTGGTAATAAAATTTTTTAAATAAAATATATACTTTATAGAAAAAAAACCCCCTAACTATTATTTTTTTTAGTGTTATATTATGTTTAAATAAACAAATTCCAAAAATTGCACGAAAGATAATAGAACAATGGTTAATTTCAATACCAGACACATTAACACAAAAACCTATTCAAATGCCAATCAATGAAACAACAGAAAATCACAATGCTGTTGAAGATTTAAAAAATTATGAACAAATTATAGAAATTTATATTTTAAACGTATTACCAAAACTTAATGATTGGGATTATGCTAAATCATTTCTTAATGATAATGACATAATTAATAAAGATCGTAAGATATTATACGAAAAGAAACTTTTAAAATTAAAGAATAAATATGATAAGTTAATAAAATCCTCATCATCTAAATCAAAAAATCATCAGCAACAACAAAAATTTGGTAATGGGTTCATACATACTAGAGTAAAATATTTCCATTCAAATAGTAATAATGTTAATGTTAATGGTGATGGTAAATTTCAACCAAATAATCATCTTCAACAACAACAATTACAAAAATATAATAATAATAATAATAATAATAGCAACAACAACAATAATAGAATTTCAATAATTACAGACACCAACAATAACATTAACAATAATAATAGTATCAGTAGTGGCATTACCGGAAGCAGTAGTAGGAACATTAATGACAATCAACCTTCGACATTAGCACAATCATCATCATCATCACCTACAACATCAATACCACAAATAACAGCTTTATTCAGAACAGTTAATAATCTTGTTTATACATTCACATTAAATTTACAAAGGACAGCTCCAGTTCTATCATATACTAGAATTGTTTTCTTTTTCATTTTTGTCATCATGATAAATAGCTTGAGTAGAAGTAGTAAAAGAAAACTTCGCAAACTTTTATATATTATGTTAATTAGATTCTGGAAAACTATTAAGGCTGGAATCACTATGTTATAATGTGTGGATGTAATTTGGAGCGCATCATTTGAATCTTATTACATCTTAATATAAATATTTATTTTATTATTGTACTCTTTTTTAAATTGTAGAAAAATGTATATAATTTTTTTCAATAAATAAACAACAATTACAATTTTATAAGGTTCTAGGTATTTTTTTATACTCTAAACTTTGAATAATATCACCAACTCTAAAATCTTCAAAAGAATTAAATGAAACACCACATTCTAAACCTTTGTTTACCTCGTTAACATCTTTTTTAATATGTTTTAAAGTTTCCAAAGCTCCTTTATATTTTCCCAGAAAAATAACAAGCAAACAATAAGTAAAAATGTAATGAATAAATAATTAAGGAAAAAAAAAATTTTTTTTTCAACTTACCTTCCCAAATTTCTTTCTTATTTCTAATAATTTTGACACTTTGATTTTTACGAATTGTACCCTTTGTTACTCGACAACCTGCTATAGATTTGAAATTTTTACCTTTAACATTGATTTGAAAATTTTGTATTACACTAGCTTCACCTGTCACATTAATTTCTATTCTAGGTGGCAACATCTCACTTAATCTCGCTTTAATATCGTCCAACAATTTATAAATTATTTGATAACAATTTATCTCAACGTTTTCTACTTTGGAGCGATTTTGTACCTTTTTGTTCACTTTAACATTGAATCCTAATACGATACCTATATAAATGTATATAAATGTTTAATATATTTTTTTCTCTAAATAAATAAATAAATGATTGAATAATCGATTACCTTTAGCAACTGATGCCATTTCAATATCTGATTCTGTGATTTCACCAACACCAAAATCAACAACATTAACTCTAACCTCATTATTTCCTAAACCATAAAGTGCATCAATAACTGCCTCCACTGATCCGCTGACATCACCTATTTATTTATTCATTCAACATTGTTTATATAAAAAAATTAAATAAAATATTAAAAATTATTATTTATTATACTTTACAAACAATAATAACCTTTAACCACCAAATTTAGTTCTTTAATTTTATTTTCTTCGGTTTTTTCTTCTTTAATGGGATCTGATTGAGATGGTGGGGGTGGCGGTGTGGGATACTCTGATAATAATCCTTTATGAAACATCCAAACTTCTTTTTTAAAATTTTTAGTTTCACTTCTTTCATTATCTAACTCTTGTTTTCTGATTCTTCTTTTTTCATTAATCACTTCAAGATCTTTGAGTTGTTTGTCTCGTAATTCTTTTTGTTTTCGATTTTCTACTACAATTTTTGCCAAATCCTACATGTATTATTTATTTATTTATTTATTTATTTATTAAGTTAATTTGGGGGGTTTTTTACCAACTATTAATTACTTACTTCATCTTTAGCCTCAAGTACTTCATCTCCTGCATTTGGCAATTCCTTCCAACCAGTTACTTTAACAGGCGTACCAGGTAAAGCTTGTTTAGTAATTCCACCTTTATCGTCAATCATTGACTTTACTTTACACCAACTTTTTCCCGCTACTATTATGCTTCCTTGCTTCAAGGTTCCTCGTTTCACTAAAACTGTAGCCACGTTTCTAAAATGATATAATAAATATGTAGCTTCACATATAGATACATACATTTTATATAATATTTGATTATATACCCTCTTCCTTTTTCAAGTTGTGATTCAATAATAACGCCCTCAGATTCCATATCAAATTCAGCACGTATATCCAATAATTCTGCTAATGCTATTATAGCCTCTTCCAAATCATCTAAACCTTTACCCTTAATATGTGTATAGACGTAGTATTAATTATCAATGAATTAATTGATTGATTAATCAAAAAAATTTTTTTAAAAAAATAATTTTTATACCGTTAAAGCAGATATTTCTACAGATTGTGTCTCACCACCATATTCTTCAAGCTGCACACCGTGTAATAATAGTGATTGGCGTATTTTATTCTAAATTATAATAAAAGAAATAAATAGGTTTTAATAAATGTTTTAAATAATAATAGTGGTAATAAATTCTATAATAATTTAAGTATTTACTGGATCTCCACCATGTTTATCAACTTTGTTTATGGCTACTATTATTGGTACTATTACAAAATTATAAAAATAAATAGTCTGATTTTTTTTTTTAAATTATATGAATAATTTTGATTTTTTTTTTCTACCATTGGCACTTTGTGCATGTGTAATTGCTTCTATGGTTTGAGGCATCACACCATCATCTGCTGCAACAACCAAAATCACTATATCTGTAACATTTGCACCACGCGCTCTCATAGCTGAAAATGCTGCATGTCCGGGTGTATCAAGAAACGTGATAACTTTTTGAGATGGTAATAAAACTTTTGTATTGTTTTATATATATTTAATATATTTGATTTTTATTTAAAAAAAACCACTAATTGAACAATTCATCAACAAAGTTTTACTAATTTATAAATACCAGAAAATGCACCAATGTGTTGTGTAATTCCACCAGCTTCTTTTGCTACTATTGATGATTTTCTCAAAGCATCAAGTAATGTTGTTTTACTTTTTTTTTTTTTTTATGAATTTAAGAAAAAAGGATTAATAGATGGATAATTTTTTGTTGCTTATATCTTTTAATTATTTTCATTTACCCATGATCTATATGTCCAAAAATTGTCACAATTGGTGGCCGATTAGGAAATTGTGACATATCTAAAGGCTTTGGTCTTTGGCAAGGAAAAAACAAATTAGTAAATCAATTCATGGGACAAATAACATATGTATATATAAATTTAAATATAAATTTAAAAAAGTTATCAAGAATCCAAATAAAAAAAACATACTTTACTTTGGGAAAAGATCAATAGCTGCTTCAACATTTACCACAGGATTTAAATCATATTCCATTGCAATTAAAGATGCTACCTCAGAGTTTAATACTAAAAATAAAATTATATATATATATATATATATATACATTCAATAAGTGATATTTTAATCATTATATCTCATCATCTTAATATATATATAGTATCATCATTGTAACTCACAATGATCATATGATGTATACTCTATTCCCAAGGTTTTTAATTTAGCTTCAAATAACTCTACAAAAAAATTTTTTTGGAAAAAATAGCAATCAAGTCAATTGAATTTATTTCTTTTTTAAAAAAATAAGAAAAATAATAATAAATTTATTTCTCACCTAACCTTTCACCAATTATCTTTGCTAAATTTGAAACACTTATAGCTTCAGGAATAAAAATTGCTTTTTGAATCTTTTGTTCAATTGGTGGTGGTAAAGGTTTTTTCTTTGGTTTGTCATCATCAATAATTAATTCAAAATCTTCTTCCTCCTCTTCCTCCTTTTCACGAGCCTTCCTACTAAATTTTGTTTTACGTGTTTCTGCTGTTACTACTGGTGAAAAAACATTATTAAAATCATCTTTTTTCACTTGTTTAAAATCAAAACTTTTGTTAAATATATGGCTTTCTTTGTAATTAATAGCAGATTTTTTTGATTTTAATTCTTCGGATTGTTCTGAAATTGTTTTAGGCTTATTCCATCTATTGATACTGTAATTTTTGTTGTTATTAATAATATCATTATATGATTTATTATACATAAAACGGCCATTATTATTACTATTGATTTTTTTTATTAAACCAGAAAATCTGGCAGGTTTAAAATTCATTCTATTTCCTATTGTTATTATTATTATTATTATTATCAGATATATTATTATAGTTCAAAAATCATGTAAAAAAACTTCCTTACCTTACTTGTAGCAAAAAATTTGTTCATCTCTAAATTTTTGAGATATGTAACATTCGTAGTACCAGATAATTATTGGCCAGTTTTCAACACAGAAATCCGTTTTTTATTTTATAGAATCTTTGCATAATAATGTTAAACGTTTTAAAATATCTGAATCACTGATGTTATTGCCATTAACATCCTTGCGTTCCAACAATTATCTTCATGTACAAAATAAAGAATATAATATATAAAGTAATATAGTAAATAAATGAAATAATGTCGAATATAAAATATATACAGTTTATAACCTCGTTTAAATCCCACATATGAACTGGAGAAGATTATCTTAATATTAATATTAATATAAACTTTTCTTCATTTACATCCAAATTTTTGGCACCATTATTAATATTGGTACAAAAACGTATAAATAGATGCTATCCTCCACTTGTGGACCAAAAAAGTTCATTGGCTTGCTGTTTACGATTCATTCAAATGTGAGACTTGAGGCATGTGGCGCTGAAATGGTATGCATGGTTTGGCTTTTATGATGAATCCGATTGCCGCCAGGTTTGAGGCACATAGTGCTGAAATATCAATCTGTATTTTCCATTTACAATGCATTTGAATGACAGAACTGAGGCACACAGTGCCGAAATAGTATACTTATTTGGTGATGCATGAAAGCACGATTTTTTCTTATCTCTTTCCTTATATAATTCTACCTTTGCATATCACTTTTTTTGCTATTTACAATTAATGATGCATGACGAAACTTTTGACTTTAGTCATTGACGTAACTAAAGTATTGACTAAAGGTAGTTTCTCACCAGGGGCATTTGATGATTTGACGCAAGTAAAGCCACTTGATGTAATTAAAAACACTTGACGTAAGTAAAAATACTTGATATGATAAAAATGTGTGTCCCGGAGATGGATAAAGGATTATCATTATTGTATGTATATTGCAATGATACAAGAAGAATAATTATTGTGGAAGTTTCCAAATGTTATAATTTGGATTAGAAATTTCACTTAATTAAACTAATTATTATTATTATATGAAACTACTTGATTTTTTTTTTCGTATATTTTACAAATTGAAACTATTCTTTATTATTACATTTCATAAAATGAAAAAAATCAAATTGTCTTTGCATTATCAAAAAATATGTAGTTAAAGGAAGGATGGATTCAGCTTCAATATATCCATTGCTAATTAACGATTATCCACAAAACACCATTAATAAATATGACCTTTACAATGCTGTCTATAATATTCGTCAACAAAATAACCCTGGTGATTTTGATGCATCACAAATGATTAAAAATTTGTTTGAAAAATATGCAAAGGTGGTGAAAATTCTAATGTAAAAGGTCGTAAATGTGGAAAATGTGGACAATTTGGTCACTATGCAAGCACATGTATGGATTGAATAACTTTTATTTATTAATGTATTACTTTCAACTGTAATTTGTAGACATGTTATGAATTTAATATTA